CAAATAATACTTTAATAGATGAAAGTAATCGAAAATAATAACAAGTAATTAAAATTATCTACAAACATGTTTTATAATGTAAATTAAAAACTATATAGGAAGTTTTTTATTAGTTAGTAATGTACTGTACTATTAATACCCATATTTTTTTTATAACTTACTAAATATTGGTATAAAACTTAAATATGAAGTTTACTCTATATCATTCCATTGAATTTATATAACATGTTTTGAAAACAATATAAAACATGTACAAGGATTGACTTAGCCAGTCCTTTACACAAAAACATTTTGAGCTCTTAATATATCTTATAACTTATTATAATGTCATTATCGATATGTCATAGACATATAATCACCACTCGTCACCCGCTCTCACTCACGATTGATTTGTATATTCTTTATATTAATCACAAATATTGATCAGACTTAAGACTTTAAATGTTATAAACATATTAATACTACAATATAAGTAAATAGTATATTATGAGCAAAATATAGCGCATTTGAAGCCAATAATGTGAAGGGAAGGCCTACCTCTTTGCCGCCTCGTTATTCCTTTTCCTTCTGTCCCAATAGGACTCATCTTTTTTATTATCAGGTATGAATTCCCGTTGCTTTCGACTACTCATCACATGACTGGTAGACGACTGTCCGGAGACCATAACTCCGTTGAGAGGGTATCCGGAGTTGGCAGTGGTTGGCGATCCCGAGCAGAAGTATGCGGCGCCTGAACTCATAGGTAATGAGTTTTGGTTAGAAAGTGAGAGAAAAGTTCAGCAAAAGTTCATGCAATCCATACCCAGTGAAGCGATTAGAGCACTGGCGGGCGGAACGGTGTTAGCGATTGTGAGATCAACAGGTGATGGGGTCCAACGCGGGTGCTTTAGTAAACGAAGCTCAGGGTCGTCTAAGTTATCCATTGTATTGGCCTTAATATCGTTGGAAATAATTTATGAGAATCAATGTGATGGAAATGAGCGCAAACGCATGTGACGAGTAAAGCACGTGTAGATGAGGTGAACACCACATCAAACTCCGATCAACACATTCACCACAACACTGACAACACCATCACCAACACCAACACCATTGCACGAAAAGATTATATGATACTACAGTATACTGTATAGCAATACATACACATACAGTACAGAATCGCAATTGTTATGCTATAGTATTTCACTTATGATAACTATTACTATAAGATATCTACAACTTATTACTACTTATTAATAATGCACTCATATATCATATACTGTATAATATATATATATATCTTGAATACTTTGAACAATAATTGCGAAAATTATATCATTTGGAGAATATTTAGGAGCAAACGAAGGGAACAAATATATGAAAAGCCGACGAAAACTTTGACATTAAAAACATAAACTATTTTTACTATAAAATTTGAATCGATTTAACAAAACGCACAATCATTTAGTCATTTAAGTGAATAACAAAACATCCAGTAATGTATTGTAATGTACTTTACTATGAGTTGAGTTGTTTTGTTAACTTTTATATAACAATTACTGTTAAGCATAAGAATCAGTCGATTAGAAATACATTCACCAAACATTAGCACAGAATTTGACAAAATTATAGCAAATTTTAATTAAATGAACAGAAATTGTGAAACGAATGCGTTATAAAAAGTGTAAATAAATAAGATTTAAGATAAACAAGTAGTAAATAGGTATACGATAGGGAAGGGAGAGTGAGGAAAGGGAGTTGAGTGGAGAAATGTTATACAAGCGCATAGTGTTATGCAGTGTTGGGTAGTATTGATAGGAATAATGTACAGAATATACAGCAAATAGACTTACTTTGGAGAACAACAACATCGCTGGTGAGCGGAGTTGTGTGGAGTGGTATGGAGTGGTTGTCGTGTATGGAGTAGTGCTTCCTCTGGCACTTTCACTGCACGTCTGGCTCTGACCTAATTTGCGGTAATATCAGCGCAATTGAGGCCTTGTATTACGGCAACTATAGCTGCATTGCCAGCACTGATCCTATAGTTGTGCAGCGATATAGCAATGAGTCTCAAGATCACTGTTACACACAACGCACTGCACTGTAATACTGGTGCTGTAATGGGGTCAGGGGTGATGCAGCTCTGCTAACTGTGCTAACTGTGCTAAATGTGACTTAAGTGACTAACTGTACTAAGTGTGACAAGGTCAACTCCACTATAGGTCCTTCACTCAATACGGAAGGAATTGAAGGGGAATTTACTTACACCTCAACTACCACTCCATCCATTAGATCATTGCTTTCTATACCTCTTCCACAGTAGAAACACTTTCTTGAAAACTTTCTTCAAATTGTCGCAACCTTTCGGTGTTTTCTCGTCGAGACCACCAGTTTAACAGTTTTTCCACTTTTCACTCAATACCTGTCCCAACAAACTATTGAATGCAACAAACTCTACAAAGAATCTCACTTCACGTTTATTATCATATATTGGTTGATATGTTTTTACGATACAATTGTCACAACATTATTCATACGCTTTTCGCCAATTATTATAAACATTCAAATAATACAAGACTTAGTTTTTGAGTTCAATTCATCAAAACAGTTACACAATATTATATGAATAGTAGTTTTACTATTAAATTGGATGATACTATTTAGGTGTATGGGCACAGAATACATGCGCTTACACTATATATTTAGAACAAACACAACCACTACACTCTCTCTACGGTACACTACAGTACACTATGAGCTCTAGTATTACATAATAATCGAGTGAAAGCAATGCGAGCAATAATACTCATAATAATAATAGTAGTAATAGTAATAGCAGTAGAGATAATACACGTGCAGCGCTCAGCACGTGATAATATCCACTATATTCAGGGTCGATGTGTAGAAAACATATCAATCGATATATGTTTGCCAACTCTAACCGCTCTTATGTAACATATCACACAACTGTACGGTATATAACAATCAAATGATACTGTTGAGATTTCTCTATGCCTTTTGAATCACTTATAATAAATAAAAACTTTATTCCAAACCATGGTTTTTTTATTAAATTCCGGATTTCATATAAATCAAAATGAAATGAAATTTTTAATTCAATAACTTAGTGTTAAGTTAAGGTTTTATATAAAAAATTAATTTCAGTAAAACACAAACTAAAAGCTAAAGAGAGTGTTGAGAATTTCGTTGAGTTTTTATTTTTATATATTATTTAAAACCATGAATTTAAGTGACAGAGAAGTCGATCCTTCAATCCTTGACACAGTAATAGAGCCCGACTGCCGACCCTCTAATCGCTTTGCATCTCATATTCAAACCATAAGACAAGAGATAACATTGCAGTCATTACCGAAGACAGGGCTTCTCTCAGTTGGGAATGTCATACAAATGAACTCAAATCACAATATTTTTAATTTTCATTTAATCCGATATAACATGAAAATGATTTTACTAAAAACCAATACTTTTATATCAGTATTATTTATAGTTTGCGGATAAAATAAAAATATTACCCATTGAAACAACAATAAAAATAATGTACTGTAGTGTATTGTACTCTATGTTATAAAGCCATTTATAAATGAATTCATCAATGATTTTAAAATATCAATATTTAACCTAAAATACTCAAAACAATTTTCTGATATTTAAAAATTAGATTACTTAACTTCAATATAAGCTATAAATATCTTCTATTAATTAAAAATAAATGTAAATATTTAAAATAACAAATAATTAGTAGAACAATTAATTAATCTTTCTAATCCATCCAAATATTGCACAAAGTATATACATAATTATTTACATTTGTTGAAAAAAATTTATTTTGTAAAATTAATGTATTTACCGCTATGTACCGGTATAATCCTTTTAAAATATCTGTGAAATTGGTAAATATTAGATGTGGATGGGGAATTTCAATTTAATATATGCCTTGTTATGTTCATATAAATTAGATTTTCAAAAACTAAAAATTATAACGAATTATAGAAATTGAATAAAAGTTTAAGTTATTAAACGTCTTAAGACTTTATAGAATATTGTCCATAAAATTAATATAAGAGAAATATCGTAATGTTAACTCTATGGATACATTACTCCATTAAAATGACATTGACATAAAAAGATAACAAGAATATACGATTGACATTAACCACAGAATAAACATTAACTCATAAAGATATGAGGGAAGGATTTTACTAATAGATTAATTTATTATATTTTATAAGTTCTCTCATATCTATTATTTAAATATAATTTAAGTTACTTTTGTATTATATGATATTTATCTGAATTATTAATAATTAATTATTTGTTAATTACAAACCTTTGGACCAATTCTAATTGATTGCCAGAAAGTAAATGAGTTTATTTGAGATAAATTTATTAAATAAAAGTCAAATTCAATATCAAATATTGATTACCAAAGGCCAGTATAGGCGCCAATCAGTAGGCAAATTGAAATAGAAATCAACCCTTTTATCAATTCTGTTATATTTTTGTAATTCCGTCCTCGAGTATTGACCTATTTTTCAATTCTTAACTATTTTATGACATTATTTTATTGTTATAACGATAATAAATGAATGTAACGAATGCCACTAAATCTCCAATAAGTCATCTATTTTTGCACTTTTATTTTTCTAAACAGAATCTCATAAACTATGAACATATTTTTATGATTTAATAAAATTATTATTATCAAATAATAGATTAACCGTCTCTCTCTCTCTCTCTCTCTCCAAAGAGAAAGAGATAATTGTTTAGAGAACTAGAATATAATGGAATAGTATAGTGTATACTATACACTATACACTGTATAGTGTAGTACTAGAATGAGATCAGAATAGATGAAATACCGGGTGAAATTAGTTGAAGAATAGTTACTGTATGACCCAATTTGTGTAACACGTGTTCAAAATTCAGGGTATTCTAGGAAGCAAAGGGTATAGCATTGAGATACCTCTCCCTTATTTCATCTGCACAGATAACAATTAATTAATTAATTAAACAATTCTTTAACTATAATTTTCAAGTTATATTTAAAAATATTTTGTTTGATTTAATGAGAATAATATTCAAATTCTCATTAATGGCTATTTATAGCTCAATACAAACAACAGAATTAAGTCATTATTATTGTATAAACAATTCAATGCCTTTCGAAGCAAAAGTGTTTTCTTATTTATTTTCTACTATAATAGTATATAAATGAATAACATTATTATTTTTTTCAGATTAATTCTGTTTCAGTGGAGAAAACAGTAATTACTATTTTTTGAGACATTAATTATTAATTTTAAGCAAACACGTATGTCAACAATATTCAATTCTAGTGTTTTATACATTGATCAATATTAATTAGAATTTTGAACTCAATTTAAATCAAAAGCATATTTCAATAAAAAGACAATTTGTGTGAATTATAATTGATTTGATGACAAAGTTCAGCACATGATTGGTTTAGAGCACAGAACTCAGGGTTATTTAATGAATGTTTGTTCACAAGTTTGTTAAACACTGTTATAATAAGAGTTGTTCACAAATACTAACTCATCAAACGACTGAATGTAGTTTAAGGTCTATAATCCAGTGATTATTTTAAGTAATCTATTTTAATGAATGTTTGTTCACAAGTTTGTTAAACACTGTTATAATAAGAGTTGTTCACAAATACTAACTCATCAAACGACTGAATGTAGTTTAAGGTCTATAATCCAGTGATTATTTTAAGTAATCTATTAACTCAACAAAATATCAATTACACAGATTTGTACGCATTCTTTAGTATATAATAAGCTGCATAACAAATTATACATTAATAAATTATATACAATTTAGTATATAGTGAACAAAATTTATAATAATATATAGCAGATTATTATAGGATATTGTTAATACTAGTACTATTAAGTTAATACAATTTAATTTTAGTAAACAAAAAGTCAATCAATTAACTGATCGACAGAAAAATAAGTGAATCAACAAAATTCATCAAATGTTTAAAATTAATAAAACTATTTTATTTTGAATATAAAAATAAATTAAATTTCATTATTTAAGATGAGTTTCAAATTGAATAAGAATTTAATTGTAATTGTATGATCAAGGTAATGTTAAGCTCATTTGCACAACTAATTCCAATTTATTTTATTTTGAATATAAAAATAAATTAAATTTCATTATTTAAGATGAGTTTCAAATTGAATAAGAATTTAATTGTAATTGTATGATCAAGGTAATGTTAAGCTCATTTGCACAACTAATTCCAATGACAGTTATCTATTCAAGGCTTAAACTTTCCATTAAGCGTTTGTATAATTATTATAACATATACGGTACTAAATATTTGAGTTAAATATCATAATTTTACAATAATTCATACAAAGATGTCCAAAGTTATAATTTAATTAATTTTGTGGATATTTCATAAATAATTGATGTTTTCGTAGCGGACAGTGGTCTTAGTTTTGGTTCTTTATGACAATCTCCAAGAGGTTTATCTCAAGAGAACTTTGACGGACACAGAAATACCCGTATATTATAAGATAAACACAAGGCTTAGAGAATGTCATTGTAAGTGAAGGCAATTCAACAACAATTATAATATAAATGCCATAAAAAGTCAATTACTCAAGTGATAATTCAGATTCGTTACTTTTATGTCATAATATTATTTTAATTTTATTAACAAATTGTAACGGTATTAAACAACGATTTATTTATATGTAATATGACATAATATGTCATAAAATACCGTATAGCATTTGTTTCAAAGTTATTACCAGTAATGCTTTGAGAAACCAATATTTCTACAAATGAACAAATGAACCAGTCAATCGAATCAAAATAGTAATACAGTAATAAAAGTTAACTGACATTGATATGTCACTGGATATAAAATATAGATTTTACTGTATACTGGCAATTATAAAATATTGATATATAATATTTATTAGTTTAATTGTTAGCCAACCAATGCTTTAGAATTGTCATAATATTGTACTAGTATAAACAACTTGGTAATAATATTATGTTGTAGAGAACTCCATAGATTCACTAACTATCATATTATAAATACAATAGATCGCTACACAATTAAGTTATTTAATACTAAGTTAGACTATTAATACTTTGTAGTACTGTATGACCAAATGAAATACTACAGCTGTTTAAAATCTTTTCATAAACAAGCTACAATATTATATTAATTTTAATAATAATAATTTTAATATTAAGTGAATTTAACAATTTAAATTTGTTTTAAATAATAAATAACTTGTGTTTTGAATGACACATGAAATGAAGTTTTATGTAATTTAAGATTTTTCTTCAATCATAAATTTATTGCTAAATAATTCAATACATTTGCAAATTTAAACATTTGGAACTAATTAAATAATTACTAAAATAACAATTAAAATATTGTAATAATTTGTCTATAAACAATTTCAATTAACAGTTCATTTAAAGATCATAATATTAAATCATACCAATAATAAAATTAAAGTCTTAAATAAGTATTGAATCTATATTCAAATAAGACAAGTTTTGATTTCAATATATATTTTTTAAAACTTAATTGTAACTTTGAAATTTATTAACTATTGGATTAAAAATACCTGATTTTTAACGCTTTTGCATAAATATCATCAAAAATATCTCCACAAAATAAGTTATTGATTTCAATATATATTTTTTAAAACTTAATTGTAACTTTGAAATTTATTAACTATTGGATTAAAAATACCTGATTTTTAACGCTTTTGCATAAATATCATCAAAAATATCTCCACAAAATAAGTTAAATTTATATTATATTTATAATAACTATTCATTTCGTTTAAGTGTTTTTAATGTATAATTTTTGTAAACATGTTTTTCCCCTAAAATTTATTAATTTCATAACTAATGCTAAGTATTAACTCATGAAACATTTGATTTAAATTTTGGTAAAAAGAGCCCAAACTTGGATTCCATGCCTGTGAAGGTGGCCAGTCCTAACCGATACCCTCCGATGTGGTCTGGATTTGAAGACTTAATTTCGGTCGAGTGGACGGGTATCATAGTCTCGGAACCAGTGGGTCGTCGGCCACCAAAATCAATGAAAAACAATCGCTGCAACACTTCATACGTCAATAATGTAAACCCAAACTGTGGGGCACTTCGCAACACACGGGCCGGTCCTCCCTTCCAAAAGGCTATCCCTCCCTCTTCTTTCCATATCTTTCTGACCGCATCTAAAAACACAACAAATTTTAGATAAATAAACGTTTATTGCATTTATAAATATTTGTTTACACCTATCACTCCGGTATAAGTAGTCTGTCCGGCACGCGCTGCCACTTGTAACCGTGTTTTAATGACATCGGC